GAAATGGACTCCTCCCTGCTGGTGGAGCTACTCAATTCTAAGATGTCTTCCTCTTGGCATATCAATCAATGGATCCACAGAATTAAAAAGCTCAGCACTGAAAGCAAGATTCATTTTTCATTTGTGTATAGGGAAGCTAATAGACCTGCAAATTTCCTAGCTATAGAAGGTGCTAATGCTGATCATCCTGAGGTGTCCACAACCCTCTCCCCCTCCCTACACTTACTAACTCAGAGGGACAAACTTCAAATTCCCTACCTCAGAGTGCAAAAATGATTGTGGTTGTGGCCATGAACAGTCTTGTTCTGATGCTGAGTTTGTGTCTATTCTTGCTTTTGGGAGTTCAGATGTTTAGTTTTGCTTGGGAGCTGTTTTGTATATATATATATATATATGTACATACAATGTTTTGTTTTTCTCCCTTCTGCTTGAGTTGAGTCTGTTTGTGGATGGGCCACCCTTATGAGTGAGTTATATGTTTTTTTTGGTTTTTACATAGGGGACCCCTCCCAAATCTTGTATTTGTTTTCTTTTGGATCAACATGCAAGGAGCCAAATAATGCTCCTTACCCAAAAATAAAATATAGTCCTCGCACACGTACACACACACATCACCCATGTAGCACTGGCCTCCCTATCCTCATGTTTGGCCATGTTTCTAGCCATCCAAATAAACCAAGCAACAATGAAGGGAATTGGCATGAGGTTTATCTCTTTCCAGTCTTTAGTGCAGTCTGTAATATTATCGCGCCTGAGAACTACTATAGGGAATTGGCATCGCCTGAAGTAATATATATATGTTGATTAAGTTAATCGCGCCTGATAACTACACTCGGATTTTCTCCAAAAAATATCTTAACATCGTTGGTAAACCAATGAAGCTACTCAAGTGACCTCCTGATTTTAATCCCAATCATGAACCTCCTACTGTACCGGTATGGTTTAGTCTACCTGGTCTCAAACTACACTTTTTCATCATCAGGTTTTTTACTCTATTGGTGTCATACTTGGGGACCTACAAATAATGTTTTATAATGTATATATAAATATAATATAAATAATATATATATATATAATAATATATATTTTATTAATTTTTTACTCTATAATGTTTTTATAATGTATATATAATTTTTATAATGACTTACAAATCATTATACTACACTTTTTCATAATGCTCCTTACCCCCCC